ATTATTAATGGCCATTCAACAATCAGTAAGTGTAAATAATTAAAATGAAACAATGGGCATGAATAATAAGATATTTTTATTCCTATATCTGTTTTTATTGAATCAGCTGTTGATTCTAATCTATGGTTATTACAGAAAAGAACATGAAATACAGAAAATTTTGAGTTGAAAGATGTCAGTTTCTGAGGGCAGAAACTTTTGTGAAAAAGGTCAATTACCATAAAACTTGATCTGTATCTCACCATAATAAAGAGACATATTCCAATAATCATATTATCTTCAATTAAAAAATGCTAATTAAAAAAAATTGAATTAATGCACTTCAACATCAATTTTCAAGATTTTTTTTGGAAATTGGACCAATCAACAGTTAAGAACAGAATTTGATTTATTAATCTTTAATACATGGGCAGCTCAATATCCGACATACGTCAAACATAAGAAAAAAAAAGACTGGAAATGACTAACTTTGACAGAACAACAGACAAAATGACAGTTTGAAACAGGTAAAAGTATAGTAATCACTGTATTCTATGGCCATTTCATGGTGGCAGGGGGTACACAGTTTCTTTTATTTCTTTTTATTTTGCTTAGAAATTTTTACACAGTTTATCATTTCAGTGGTGATATGAATCTATGATACATGCATTGTTCAATGATTAATTCATCTTTCAATAGGTGGGACTGTGTGTAACTTATCTTTTTTTTGTATATGGTCTTTATCTTTGAGAGTTTACCTTACAAATCTGAAATTATTCTCATGACCAAATGGTGAAATTTTTATTTCACCATCTATCACTTAAAGAAATTAAGATAATTACTGGTTTATATTCCTATTTGTGCATCAATGCAAACTTAAAATCAACATTATGTGAGTATGTTTGCAGAGAAGTTGATCAGGAATTTGTGCGCTCTTGCTATTTCATAGATGACTTCAAACTTTATTTTCTAAAAAAAAAAAAACCAGGACATAGGTGGAGAAATGTTTATATTACGGTACCGAGCATGTGTGATATAAAATGAATACACTCAGACGGATCTTACTCTTATTTAATTAACAAATTAAGATTTTATTTATTTAATACATTTCGAATAAATTGAGAAGTATTAAGTAAACTCACTACTGTAGTTTATATAGTCTAATTCCTTATAAAAGTTACATATACCATTACCTGCAGTTCTGTTTTAAGTCTTATTTGGGGTGAAATTGAAAATTGCACTGTCTTGTAAACCAATACACATGATAAGTTACACACAATGCCCACTACCGAACCAACAAACCTGACTTTGGATGAGTGAATCTGCTTCCCCTTTTCTGTATCTCCTGCATGTTAACTTTTCACAGGCCAGCATTTAGTCTCAGTTCGTTATTGATGTCCACTTCTCCTCTACAATGTGGGACTTGCATTATTAATATTTTTTCATATCTTAATACAGTTAACTTATACTTTGTTGTAAAATTCTATCACATACTAAAAATATGGTACAAGAAGTTTGAATTCATTTGTAATTTTTCTATTGAAACATAGCTCATTCAAGCAAAATGTAATTAATTCCTATTGTAGATCCATGTTAAATTTGCTTAATCAGTATACTGTGATTAGATAAAATCTGCTGTGATATATTTATTATAAATATGTTATTGTTTACTTGTATACATTTATTTTCAGTATACAAATTTATGACACCAACAAATTAACTAAACTTGTACTGTAATAATGAATTAATCATACATGTAAATATGTTTTTTTTTCTGTCTGAGTATAAATATATACACACAATACGCCATGATGTATTAGCTGCGATAAAAAAGCTGTGATAGAAATTTTGCCATAATTACGGATTTTTCCTATTGTTTACATATACATGTATATTAAAACACTGTGATAAGAACTTGGTTGTTATAAATTTTTTCCACTTATGTACCTATCATTAATTTAATTAACTGAAATTGATTTATTCCATTGAATGAAAAGATTATTCTTGTTCATTATTTGTAATATTATAATACTTATTATATAAGTGCCATGCAGTGACATAGATTTGTGATGTTTAAATTAATTGAAAGATGTTTTCACACAGAGACATTATTATTATTACATGCTATCTACAGGTAATGAATTTTTGCTCCAAATTCTAAACAGTTTTTTTGTAATGACTCTATGTTTGCATTATGGTTATATCATGTAATACTTAAGGTTCTTTTTACCAAACAATGAATGTGTACAAAGGTGGTGTGAAAGGCACTATGCAGCAAAACTATAGTCATAATAAACATATATCAAGTATCTGTTACAGGTTGTAGTCTAGCATAGCAGTAATTCACTGCATATATTGTTACAAATCTAGACTACTTAAGCAAAATATGGTGGATTATATTCACATGTATTCCTACATGGAACCATGAATGACATATGATTACAGTGGTTATATCCAGTACACATTTCATTGTTGGTTTACATGATATGGAGTCACTGGCACGACAGAGATGTCTGTAAACTTCCGTCTTTGTGACATTACCATATGCTTACATACAGGGCAAACAATTTCATTTCTTAAAATTACTTTTTATACATTTGATATACTGGTATAGCAAATAGTTTCTGTGTGTTAAATATCTAGAATTGGAATTTTTTGCTGACATGAACTCTAATTTCTCACATTTACTGATCTATTCAATTTAATATCATGATTGTAAAAAAAATCAGACTATATCATACACTATGACTATATTATATATATGAACTTTTCTTCAAATGAAAAAAGATTGTTAATTTATATCAAGTTATTTTAGCTTAATCATGTGTGTCACTGTACATGTTCATCTTATTTACTCTATGTTAATCATGTTATAATACGTTTGTGGTTTTTCTATTAATATGTGAAATAAATTTGCTGTTATTACATTTAACTGAGGTTTTTTTTTTTCTTTTTCAAATATATGAAATACAAGTATTGAAATCCTTAGACAATATGCTATTCATTCCTTTAAAGAAATGATTTAGCTAGTGATTCACTGACTGACATGAAACCCAAACTATGGATTATAGCAAAGAATAAGTAACATTTTCAAACAATGGAAAAGTTTAACCCTGAGATGTATCAATGACCAAGAAGGATATGGAGATAACGAACAGTATTCAATCTCAACGTCCATTAAACAATATACAAAATAAGAGCAGAGCAAACACGGACCTCCGAAACATCAGAGGTGGGATCAGGTGCCACGGAGGAATGAGCATCCCCTGTCGACCGGTCACACCCGCTGTGTGCTCATTGTCATGATCAGGAAATAACGGAAAAAATCCGTCAGTGTTTTTATGAGAGATCAATAAATTTATATCATACATGTATTACAGCAAGGAAATCAAGGGATTGAATATTATTGAGTATCTGATGAAATTCTGATACACCTGTACCTTAAATTTAGATGTTCTGTGAAGTCATTAATTTTTGTGGGGGTTTAATTTTCATTGTTTTTGAGGAATGGAGTGATTAACCCACAAATTTCTGACCACAACAAAATTTAAACTTTCATATGCATGATATGCATTACCACTACACATTTTCAAACTATGACATCAAATCCCCAGATTTATTTTTTAACCACAATTTTTTTCCTCAAATACTTGAAAATTTGACCCCGCAAAACTAAGTGATTTTACAGTATCTAAGTGTTCCAAAGTTATTTATGAATGAATGTCATACGAACGAATTGAATAATCATATGGCTGTCTGTCATTATCCCAAGGTTGTATACATGCATTTTGTATGCATTTGTTTACCATGATCTTACCAATCAGGAAATGGAAATCCTTCACAATTTAAAACTCCAGTCTCTTGTTAAATTTAAAATTAAAACGCAGAGTACACATAGACTGGGATATAGACAACTTCTTCAACAGTATTTTTTTTTACTTTTAATATAAACAGGCCTGTTCATTCAGGTAGATTTTTTTCGTGTAATCTGGTGTTATTATTATACATGAATATATCGACTTATTGGCCCTTAGTAGTATAAAGCATGTAAAGTGAAAGTAGACCTGTCGACACGTTTCATTGTTTGTGCAAAGGCTAGAGCGAAATAACCAAGCTTCTTATGAATTCAAAGTCATTCACTATTGTAGTAATTTGCGAAAAAATGTGTCTTTAATTGTTTTTCCCCGTTTTTCATTGTTCATTTATGTTTTTTTTTTCTTCCAAGCACCTGTATTTGACTGCCGGGAATAACCTAAAATTTATTCTTTCTTTTACATTTACGATCATTGTATTTTCAAATAATGTTATAACTGATTACATTTCTTTTTAATATATTTATAAAGCAGTCAGAAAAACTTACATTTGGTAGAGGGTAAGCTGTGAACATCTCTTGCATCTTCTTGACATCCGTTCTATAGATAGCCTATAGAGGTGTGCGTTTCCACTTGTACAGCATTGATTCGGTTTACCACTGTTTACTTTCCCATTGTTCGTGATAATATCCGTTAAAATATATTTGAATACGATAAGATACTTATATTTTTAATTAAAACATGTTGAATTATTTTCTCCGATTTTTCCAATTTTTTTTGTAAATTTCATTGGGAAAGAACGACTACTCCCTCGATAAACTGGTTTCCCGCCCCTTGTTCGTGACGTTAATGGACGAGTTTACAATGTTAAATCCCCGTAGACTTTGAATTTGCCGCCGTGTGTATACACTGGTTGACCTCGAGGGTTCGGATAAACGGGGGAAGTTTGGAAAAAAAATGATCTGTTGATCGGACGTAGGTTGGAGGCCAAGGTATTTATACATTTTGAGATATGAAGCGAAAAGTGAGGTCCTTGGTACCGTGGGACAGACTATAATATACTTCAAGAAACAACTTGATATGAAATTGTATATTGATAAAGTTTATTAAAGAGAAAAATATGTATATATACACAAACTGTAAATAACAACAATTTAATTTCTAACAAGTTGCAAAAGCTTGCATGGGGAAAGTTCATTGATGGTCTCCTGTCTCCTACTAATTTTAGTTTGATGTATATTGATGTGACATGGCGAAATAACGGAAACACGTGACATGCAACAGGAAGTGAGAATATTTAAGGTTCTCCTTTCTGCCCCTTCTCCCCCTTCTCTCCGTGGACGCCCTGAATACCTTGCACTCCTTGTACTCCCTGTGCTCCATGTGCGCCTACTTCGCCCTTGTCTCCTTTAGCACCCGCAGCTCCTGCTGCGCCGGCGGCGCCCTGGTTACCTTTAGCTCCGGCGGCGCCAGTGTCTCCTTTCTGACCGACGCCTGGTTCGCCCTTAGCACCAGTTGTTCCAGTTGCGCCGATGTCACCTTTCGATCCAACCTCTCCCTTAGCGCCTTGTACGCCTTGGGCTCCTGTAGCTCCAATGGATCCAGCGGCTCCAACTGCGCCTATTTCACCTTTATCGCCTTTTATTCCTTGGTCTCCTTTGGCGCCTTGTGCTCCAGTGGCTCCAGTATCACCCTTATCGCCATTTACGCCATCAGATCCCTTTGGACCTGAAGGGCCTGGTTCACCTTTTGTCCCTTTAAAGAAAAATATGTCATTTATGAAAGGCAAAGGCGAGAATAGATTTATTGACAACTAATATTAAGTTTTAATACAAAAAGGTCCATAAGACTTTTCTAACAAATGCAGATAATTGAAAGCTCCAAAGTTCATGATTTGAAGAAACTTGAATGAGTATACAGACATTAGTTTCTAATTGTGAGTTTTTATGAGTTTTTTTCCCACTTTGTACCCTTTTATCAAAATTTGACCCAACTCTAGCCCCATACAGCGTCCATGTTTTGAATCAAATTGAATTTTTACTACAGGATACTAGTATGTTAATTTTCTTTCAGTAATTGTAGCCCCTTTAATTTCTTCAGAAGAAGATTTTTGAAGAAACATTTCCTGTTGCGTGTGTCAATCTTTGACCTTCTTTGTGCCTCTACATAAGCTTACAACCATCTTTGTTGGTTATTAATGACGTTGATTTTTCAAAAGTGGTTCATTACAACATATAGATTTCAAAATCTTTATTTGACTTCTACTCATTGCTATTCCATTTGATGTTCTGTTGCCTGGACTGTGGTTCGCGTTAACGACGCCTAGTACTCACCTTTGGTAAGAGAAGCAATGATATGTTTCAGTTTGTGTAGTTCACTGTACAGGTAATTGTAACGTGCCACTAAGGTATAATACGACGTGTATCTCCAGCCCTTCACTTCTGGTACCGCACACACGCACACGGTCAGCAGGAGAACCAGCTTCAAATCCATACTAAAAATAGAACACGTGTTTGAAAAACAATGCGGGAGATTAAAAATACGATAAACCAAAGTTTTCCCTATGTTAACTGTATGTAAAGATATAATAATTAATTCAATTATCAAGTAATATTATTAACATTTGTTATTGGTGTTAAGAATTGATACAAAGTCGAACTATACCTTACTTTGTGAAATTGAACTCAGGGATCTCGACACTGGTATGTTGGTAGGGTTAATTTGTCATTTGTTCTGAAGTTAATGTATTACATTTATACTGACCTATTACGTAACTTTAGCAGTCTTGATGACAGCATAAAAGTTCAGTGTATCTAAATTTCATTGAGAAAAAGTTACAATGAATTACGGCGGAGACAATCCGGTATCGTACACGATAATGTCGGAACAAACTTCACGGATGGGAGAATTAATTTTACTTATGTTACTCAATATGCATTACAATGCACCATATATGCCCCATAATATTTATAATTAGTATTAAATGACTCATTTGTATTCGTGTCAGTCCGTACATTTTATGTTTTCCTAACATCTGAAGTATGCAAGACCCAACTCCTCAATGTCGGTTGTGGTCCATGCCTGCAAGAAAGTAAAACATGTAAATACATCGGAATGCATCATTTCACTTCTCAAAATCACATGTACTAAAAATTGATTTAAATGCAATACTGATTATTAAAAGCCTTTTATTTGTTTTTAGTAAAAGTTCGACATCTTATGCAATGAGGGACACGTCCATTTGTTCCCAAGAAGAAATGACGTTATATCTAGAAAATTAATAAATCTACCAAAATTAATGAGTCTGTCTTCTTTAAAATCATATTATATGTCATTATAAATTTACCAGTATACAAATTATATATTAAAAAAAATGCAAATAATCAAATCATTTTTTAAAAAAAATATCTTATATAAAGAATATTGGTGTATAAGACAAGAAAAATACCCGTTGCTGGTTAATAGATTTTATGTTGCGGAAATTTTCCCTCATATAGAGAAACCGCCGGTGAGATTCGAATTTAGACTTTCACTTGGCATTCGGAGCCATTAGCTGGTGTGGATTCTTCATGTTGAAGTAAAAAGGGAGCTCAGTGTTTGGGGATCTTATTCGAAATAACCCTGGCTTTTATTTTCAATGTTAGTCACTTGGTGAAGGAACAGTCACTACCTATGTTTTCCTCAGGTTTGACTTAATTGGCGAAGCGTACGAGAATCGAACCCAGGCCCTGCGATCATAAATAAAACGCCCTAGCTATGGCACGCCAAATTCACAAAAATAAGCAAAACATAGTTTAACAGTCGATAAACTAGGTTTATCGGTTGTAAACTATAGTTTACGGACTGTAAACTATAGTTAACAACGTTAATCTATATTTTACATCTGTAAACTATAGTTAACGCGATAATCTATGTTTCACAACCGTAAACTATACTTTACACAGAAAACAATCATTTGCGATCGCAAAGCATGGATTATCTGATAAATAGAGTTTCACGATTGTGAACTATGGTTTATAACTCTTAACTATAGTTAACGATCGTAAATTATAGTTTACAGACGTGAATCTATGTTTATCAACAAAATCTATTGTTAACGTTTTATTACAGACAGATAAACTTAGATTAGCATTCGTAAACTATAGTTAACAACCGTTAAATATAGTTTTACAAATGAAAACTATACTCAACGAATTGTAAACTATAGTTTACGGTTTGTAAACTATAGTTTACAGTCGATAAACCTAGTTTATCAATTGTGAAACTATGTTTAGCACGCCAAATTCACAAAAATGAGCTAATCATAGTTTCACAGTCGATAAACTAGGTTTATCGGTTGTAAACTAAAGTTTACGGACTGTTAATTATAGTTAACAACGTTAATCTGTATTTTACATTTGTAAACTATAGTTAACGCGATAATCTGTTTCACAACCGTAAACTATACTTAACACCAAAAACAATCATTTGCGATCGTAAAACATAGATTATCTGATAAATACAGTTTCGTGATTTGTAAACTATGGTTTACCACTCTTAACTGTAGTTAACGATTGTAAATCATAGTTTACAGACGTAAATCTATGTTTATCAACAAAATCTATTGTAAACGTTTTATTACAGACAGATAAACTTAGATTATCATTCGTAAACTATAGGTAACAACCGTTAAATATAGTTTTACAGATGAAAAGTATACTTAACGAATCGTTAACTATAGTTTACGGTTTGTAAACTATAGTTTACAGTCGATAAACCTAGTTTATCAATTGTTAAACTAGGTTTAGCTCATTTTTGTGAATTTGGCGTGCCATACCTAGCAATAGGCTACCCTGACCAGTTTTTGTAGAACATATGAAACGAAAACGCAGCCCAAAAAGTTTCTGTTTTCTTTGGTGTATCATTATTTTACCAAAAATAAATTTTGTAAGTGTAATTTTTAATTAAAAGAAGTTATTTTAGATACAAATTCGTACCGAAATGAGTATGAAAATAACAAAAGTAAAATGTTTCAAATCATGCTTGTAAAATTAAAGGTATGTACTTTTCACATTATAATGCTCAAGTCAGATATCCGTATTTTAGGAGCTAGGTTATATACACGTAATTGGAAGTTGTGAATGAGAGTATAATCGTGCTCTGAATATAGCTTCAGAACTGTAGCTCTCCGAAAAAAATATTCTGACAGACCGGAGAGAGTGTCAATATTTTTTTTCGGAGAGCTACAGGTCTGCAGCTAGCTCTGAATACTGAGTACTATAGCTGCAGACCTGTAGCTCTCCGAAAAAAAAAATTGACACTCTCTCCGGTCTGTCAGGACATTTTTTGGAGAGCTACAGTTCTGAAGCTATGAGTACTAGTATGTAAAATATGCGGAAGTCGGGTAAAATTAGAATTTGGAATTCCTCATCTTAATGACAAAGTTATAAAAAATGCAAAATTTTGATTTCTGTAAAGAGGGCTAAAAAGCAACTTCCGGTAATGGAATGAAAATCATTCAACCGTTAAATAACTGATTTGGCAAAAGTTAAAGATTTCCTAACTTTTTTGGTACATAATTATAACCCGTGTATAATTTTCCCCCTAAAATGAGGGTGTTGCGTTTCTTTTGACTGTCAGTACGAGGGTTGATCCAAAAATTCGTGGAATTTCTTTCTAAAATTTTATCGTGATTTGATAAAAGCAGACAATAGGCATATTTATAAAATAGAGTCAAAATGCAACAATACTGGAAAATTTCACCACATTCCAATTACCAATAAGGTCACACGAACTTTCTGAAAATGGATAGTTGTGAAACCTGGGGAGACTTCGACGTAACTTCAAGTAAGGTGTCACGTCACGTTATAGAATCATCTCACCCTAATGTCCATTTCGAACACATAATTCTACAAAATGCTGCCCTTTTAAAAAATTTTTTTCTTATGAAAAGCCTGGGTATCCTCTCGCACCAACTTATCTTCATTTTTCACTCATGTTTCAAAATATCCCCCATCTTTCCATATGATGTTCCGATTTCATTAGCAATGTCAAGAACAGAACGTCAGCTGACAACGTCTATATGGGAGGGGTGATCAAAAAGTTCGCGAACTATCTCTATATCTACAAAACCACAATTCTGATTGGAATGAAATTTGATACACACATAACCATACACAAGTCCTATAAATAGCGTATGCTGAATAAAGTTTTTCTCCTTGTCTGTGACGTCACAATGTGGAAATGACGTCACTATGCAGGTCACTTGTGACGAAAAATGGTTGTCTCAGTCGTACTTGTTAAACAAACGACTGTACAATTTATTGCATATCTTAGAAACCCCTTTGCCGTAACATATTATAATTTGTATATAGTTTATTAAGACAAATGACTTACTACAAATTCAATCAATGATTGGATTGATCGTTTTAGTGAAGGAAAGCAGATGGTTAAAAATGATACATGTCATGTAGCTCAGTGAAAGCAAGTTTTAACAACGTTTTTCCAGAAGGATACCAATTATATTCAAATTTAGCATTGCACCCAAGTGCATGTGAATGCATGTGCGTTATGACCATATCATCTTGTCTTTCAAGAGAAGTTTTAGATATACTCGTTTCAAATTCACGCACGTGTGTGCACGTGCATGATGATCATACCTTCTTGTAGGAGTCCCTTACATCTATCTATGTTCTAAATCCCATCCTGTTTGGTTGAAAAACAAGGGAGTTATAGCCATTTAAAGTTTCAGCCAATCAGATTGCAGCACACGTGCATGCGCGTAATTTCATGATTTTTTTAAATATCATTTTGTAGGATATCCTAATGCATGACTATATTTTAAATTTCAAAGAATTTCGTCAAAAAACAAAGGAGAAATATCAATTTAAAGTTTCAGCCAATCAAATTGCAGCACACGTGCATGCGCGTGATTTCATGATATTTTTTCTGTATCATTTTGTAGGATATCCCAATGCATGACTATATTTTGAATTTCAAAGAATTTCGTCAAAAAAACAAAGGAGATATAGCCATTTAAAGTTTCAGCCAATCAGCTTGCAGCACACGCACATGCGCATGCTTTCATGAAATTCTTAAATATTATGTGGTAGATCATTATAATGTAGGACTATGTTCAAAATTTCAAAGGATTATGACAAGAAACAAGAAAGTTATTGATACTTTAGTTTCAGCCAATCAGAGCAAAGCGCACGTGCATGCGCGTGAAATCTTGCTACTTTGACCATGCTATCTTGTCTATACTACTAATGAATCCTTACATTATGAGTTTCAAAAAATTTCATCAAAAAATAGAAAAGTTACGGCAATATCCATTATATTGGTAATTTCACCTAATGCACGTGCGCGCTCTTGCAAGCACGTGCGCGCAAAATGACCTTTGTTTGGCAACTCTACATAACATGCCTACTAACCCTAAAAAGGTTTCACCTAAGTCGGATGTGTAGTTCACAAGATCACTCGTGGACAAAATTTTCCCAGGAAGAAGAAAAATAATAATAATAATAATAATAATAATAATAATA